TGTTAATCTGATAATAATATTTCTCTCCCGTCATGTTTTTTTTATTTTTTCATACTTTTCAACATAACTGATTGACAGCAGAATAGAAAATTTGCTACGAAACATATAGAAGCCCGCATGAGATTCTGCAATGTCACGAACAACACGATGCACAATGTATCGCGCTGAGAAAGAGAGAGAAAGTGTTGTAACATAACAGAAATTACACAACGAATTGAATGACCGTCGCCAACACGATTTTACACTTGCAAATTGATCCTCTCCCTTCGATTTGTAACGATAATTACCAGCGTACATGATGGCGACTTTTCCGTACTATCAGTTTGGATTTTATTTGGAGCCGAGATGCATAGCGACGATATGTTGTATTATCTTGTATTTCAACTTGCTAGAATTGAGCATCTTCTGTGGTTGCATAGTCACGTACTCTCTGTCTGTCGACTGCACTCTGGAGTTGCTGGCTCTCTCTCGCTAGTTGTTCCTTTCTGCGTACTATTTCTTCGTGTCATTGTCCCAGGGATGTAGCAGTATATTTCGATTCCCTTTTTCTGTTGACAGAAAATATCATTGAATCTCGAATTGCGATATTTGATTTGATAGAATACAAATAAATGATGTGTAAATATATAAAAAATGTAGGTATAAACGTATGATATACGCATATATAAGTACATGAATTATTTAATTCATTATTGCTTGAGTCACGGTGTAAACGTAGCCAATATCATCCCTGAGTTCGAGTTTTATGTCTCCGCGCACAGTCTAAATGCTATGAAACAAAAGGAGTGGGGATGACGATAGGCGAAATCGGTCGAAATGTGCAACTCGGCTGCAGGCCTGATATATATAATTAGAAATTCTGTGTTCTTTATTTTTAACACTGGAAATAATCATTATATATATATTTTTTATTTTCAATAAACTTATTCATTATATTTTTTAATAATATTTATTTTTATACATAAATCATAAACATTTATTTCACATCAAGGGAATTAAAAATATTGGCTATTAATTATTTGATTGTTAATTAGATATCATTATTACGATTTAAATCAATTAAAGGTATATTGTACATAATCGAATAGGCATATTATACTCATTTGAAAAAGAGATGAGAACATGGAACAGGTTAGGAGAACAGATACCTATGCAAAGATTTTTTTATAAAATCTTTTATAATACCGTTATACATTCATTGTCAATTATCTTTTTCTATTCTATTTTTGAGAACTTTGTATATGTTAGATATCACGTGTAGTTTATAGGAAAAACATGAATATCATGTTCAGCTAACGCGATATCCATGTTTTTCTTACAAGATTTCTCGTTACTGATAATATTCTTGTATTTTCCGATCAGACATGATTTCCACCTCTGCACCTCGCGCTTCAACTTCTGCTTTATCTATCACGCTCGCCCTATCTCCACATCATCTTTTTTACTTCAACTTATTCTAAAAAAAGAGTATTCTTTTTCTCCTTTTTCCATTTTGAATTCCATTCTGATAGTT